CGCCGGCCCCGGACAACGTAACCGCGGGGACTGAAAGGGACCAACTGTGGAACACTATTGGCTCGACTGCACTGGTGTCCGCGGACGCGCACGTAGTCAGCAACTGGGCTGGTTCGACAAAAACGACGGAGTTATCAGTCTACTGCTCGGCGAAAAGCACAGGCTGCGCAAAGCTTAAGAAACATTGGGATCGACGTTAACAAGGAGACATTTCGTTATCTCTCTCATGTGCAACAACGATGGTCGGAGGGGCTGGACGCCTGCATATATCGTAAGGACAAGGAAATTCAGGGGTATGTTGACTACAATGAAACCTTGAACTTCTTCGCACCACTCAGGGCGGTCCACAACACGCCGCGCCGCTACTCAGTTCCGATAACACAAAGATGCAAATAGAGAAATCAGATTCTGAAGCACTGGGCCGAGCATTTCAGAAGTGTCCTTAACCTTCCCTCAACGATCTCCGACGCCGCTATCGACCGACTCCCTCAAGCGAAAACGAAGAACAATCTGGATCTGCCGCCTTCTCCTCCAGAAACAGTTTAAGCGTGCACTAACTCTTCAGCGAGAAATCGAAGACGAAGTGACCCACCAGACTAACCGCATCTGCCTACACTGTTTACTTGCATTCATACATCGCACGGGTCTATTTGGTCAAAACGTACCCATAATGAAGCAATTCACAGCGTATCGACACATAACGCACTATGCACATCCACTACCCAGCCTATCTCCAGGCCAATCAACTTCCTGTTGAGCAGCATCACAACGACAATCGAACCAACCTCCCCCAGCGAAGCTTGATCACATTGCCATCGCACGTTCGCCTCGTGCATCGGTTCGGTCGGCCATTGGCGGACTCACCGCAAAAAGGATGGCGAAATTGTACCTGGGACACCGACATACGTCATCGCCACAATCTTCCGCACTGTCCCCGCACATGCACTCACCGTGTGGGTGTATTAGGCCACATGCGCCCCCATAAAGAACATCGCCGGCTATACCATACCACCCTATTTCCCTTCACCAGTGTCTACAACACACAGGACCACGCCCAGCATCACACAACGCAAGCACGTAATTGACGCCTCTTAGGCGGAAAGTGCGTGGCTACTCCGCCGCATATGTGATCCGAGCCAGATAATATCCTGGTGCGCTGTGCGCCGTGGGTTTAAAGGTTGTACAGTGACGACGGAGTCCAGACCTCACAGTTAGCCCACTGTGCTTGTGAGTAGTGGTCGACTAATGGGCTGAAAGACGGGCTGCAATGCCTCCGTCTTAACTTGACCTCTAGCACTCTCACGCATGTGAGGCCCCTGCTGCTCATCCATTTTTTGTGAAATCCTAGTGCCTGTGGGGACCAGGTCGTGCATGTGGCGAGCGCAGACGAGGCCACTGGCGCGCCCATTCCCCGCACCGGACAACTGACCGGCTCGGACAGGGGCCTGGAAGTAGGCATAATGGGTGTGGTCGCCGGCTCAGGGCACTTTCCTCATTACAAACAATCTGAAGCTATCATGGTGCGCTTAAAGCCGTGGCTTGGAAGGTAGCCAACAGGTGATTCGGCTTTGACCTCGTAGTCAGCTCACTGTGTATTAGTGTGGAGTGGCCAACTGGCGGACTACGAGTCAGGCTGAAACGTCTCCGTCTTAATGTGACCTCTATGACCTTCTCACCTGAAGGGATCCGAGACTACCTATCGCCTGCTGTTGTGTTACATCCTGGTCAGTATACACCGTGGGCCAGGGGATGTGATGGTACGTCTAGGTGCGGGTCTACACTGTGCCAGCCACCAGCGCCCTCTTCTGAGTCCAGTCTTCTTAGCTCTGTCGCTCTAACATTGGACCCAGGTTGGGAAGGAGAAAGTGTTGTGGATTCAGCGCAAGTCGACTATCACTGTAAACTAACTCAGGCGCAAGTTATTTTCCTGCTCCCACCCTGCTGTGGGCACACGGTGGACATTGTCGGCAACGGGGGTCGAATTGTCGTGCGATCTTCGTCTACCGGAGAACACGTATTTCTCAGTGATGCAAAGGTGTCATACAGGGCCTGTGGCGGTCAAGTTCAGCCACATCTGGTGATTGCGCGTCGACCACGTCGGGGTCACAAATTTGTGGCGGTCAAAGATATGAGATCAACTTAAACCACGTATAATAAGTTCGTTTCGTCTAATGTCAGAAGTCAATGAGCTGGGGGGACTAGTTTATTCTGTACACAGGGCAGGTTACCGTAAGTTGGCTGTTTTCTTACAGCAGAGATAAGCGTCCGTTCACGGAGAGCGTCAGTTGCGGTGCGTAGTTTACGCGGAGGTGAAATTCTGTGTCAGTAGGTGGGGGTAACTGGTTGAGTGATCGCCATGACATTGGAGGAATAAGGGGAGGATTAGGGGAAGCATAATTACAGCATGGATGATAAAAGCGGCGGTCACCAATATCAGGACAAGTCGTTAGCGACGGTCCCTCCGTCCTCATTATCATCCTCATAATCCTCGTCGCCATCGTCCCTATCACGATTGAGGATATTTGCAGAGTAGTCGTCAAGCGACGCAGGACATTTGTACGTGTTCCGCGAACGAAGGGGCAGAAGGGGAGGGGGACGTGAAAGGAGAGTCAGAATCCATGGAACTGTAGCCTGCTGGCGAACGGGTGAGGAGGATGCGCTGAGGAAAATGTCCGAAGGCGGAGAGGAGGCGGAGAGGAGGCGGAAAGGAAGGCGGAACCTCCGCTGCTGTCCAGAGGTGAATCGTTCTCAAGACTGCGGGAGAGACGACGTTTTCGTGAGGAGGCTGCGGGGGCATTGGCAAAGTGCTTTTCTGCACACCGTTTCACCAGGCTATAGAGCTCACCAGCGGAGAAGCCCAAAAGGGTCTTGAGGTCACAGATGAACTTATAGACGAAGCGTTTCCCTTGCACCTTGGAAATCATGTCGCAGTCGTAGTAGTAACGCAGAGCAGGAGGCAGTGTGTTTTTGTTCTTGGCGAGTTTGTTTTTACGTTGGCCCCACATGGAAGCCACTCGCTCTGGATTGCTTAGTTTGTACTCGCTATCTTCATTGACCCAGTGAATGGCATCTCTATGACGCCAGCCAGTGGGGAGCTCAAGAAGGAACTGCGAGTGTTGGATCTGTCCAGCGGCGGCGGCAGCAGCTGCAGCGGCTGCATTGCTGCAGTTATTGGGGAAGCCAGCGAAGACGGGAGAAGTCAAAGACTGGAAAGGGATGAGGAAAATATTATTAATGACGATGATGGTGCCAAGTGGCCCATTTCTAACAAATTCGCACAAAGGGCAAGAACAGTCAATGCAGATGCTCCCCGCGTTACAATTACACGGCAAATAGATCAACGCACCCA